TTTTGTCCGGATGTGCGTAACATTTTAAATGGTAAAGTATTCCATGTGACCTCGCAAGTTGGCAAGGCAGCCATAGAATTTCGGTGTGAAAATAAAAGTTTCCAGCTGATCGGTAGGACAAGGCTAGAGTGCATAGATGGACAATGGAATGGAAAGTTACCTTACTGTCAAAGTAGGTCATCGAAGCCAGGGTGTAATCCTCTGTATTAGAGTCCACATTGTCTGTTTTTGTTTATACCATTAAGAGGTGGAAAGCTGAATATATACAAAATTCACTTGAAATAATCTATATTTCATCAACAGAGCTGCCGTCGTGTGTTCGTCTGCAAAGTCCGGCTAACGGTACTTTACATGGTCATGACAACAGCCATGGCGCAGAGGCAATATTCACCTGTTTTACAGGTTTTGATTTATTTGGGGCTTCAACATTAACTTGCAACAGAGGAATGTGGAGCTCAAGTGTTCCAACTTGTAAAGGTAAACTCTCTGCCTAGTTTTCACCGACCAACAGACTTATTTTATAAACGGCGAGCCTTATTGTCATATTGTATTCATACAAGTTTCCCTTATGGCCTTATCACCTTGTAAAAAACGATAGCGTTTTCTTTCGAAAGCGAGGCATGGAAGCCTAACTGATTTGAATGCATATACTAGATTGATAATTATACCCACCTTTCTTAAAGAGGTCTCTATCAGTACCAGAAAAATTGATGAAGAGTTAAATTGAAGGAGTGACATAGAAATGATAATACTAATGAGTAGTGGTGAATAATAGTTATATAACTATTAAAAATCGTGATAATTGTGTGCTTCTTCTAAATCTTCAGCACCAAATCTTTTCACTTAATCTTATCCTTTTGTTGCTCCATCTGAAGGACGAATAAACTTAAATGGCCCTGTCGTCACTGTTTTCATTGTTTTATGTATCTCAGCTTACTGCACGAAGATTAGAGATCCGCCAAAAGGGCACGTGCTTCGCTCACACTTCTCACACGGACAAGTGGTTTCTTTCAAATGCAAACATGGCTATGAGTTGGTTGGAGATCGCACTCTTCGTTGCGTTAATGGAAAATGGAATTCGTCTGTTCCCCAATGCAAAGGTATGTAGTCCCCCTGGTGTCCTCGGGATGATTTTTACCAGCTATATCGAGGTTAATGAGTTCCGTATAACTTATTGTTATAATGTATCTGGAATTATTACAAAATTCCAAATATTTCACCCCCTCCGTTTTTAGTTCTTTTCTTGTTGTGGCCATTATATGTAAAACGATGACCGATTAACACAGGAAAATGTTACTTTTTAGCTATTCCAAAATTAAAGTAGAAATAAATGGAACAAATATAGCATTGTATTCATTGAGTTGATAATGTGAATTGAGCATCGTTAACATATTCTAAAGCTCAGACTTCGAGCATTAGCCCTCTCGTCAGAACGAATCCTTCCGACGAACGGCTAACGGTTTTACAATTGTTAATTTACCTTATCACTTCAGTCGATAAAACCAAATTATCGTGTAATACCACCCACTGAAGCAGCAGTACAGTTTCTTTGGAAAATTTCTCCCTTTTACTTTTAAAGAGGTTTATTACAATAAGCTCGATGGAAATTTCCGTTTAAACGCGCATATTCGCGCAGAGTTGGCCTAAAACGAATCTTTCATCGATGTATCACCAGTTTGTGTTCCAACAATAGCATTGGTGCTGTCTATGCTGCATGTATCAATGTCACCCTAGATGCATGATTGCAATCTCAACAAACTCCCATGCACTTCAGGCTCCACTCTCTTTCGTGATACCTTTATATCAATGAAGCATTATGACAAATAACTGACAGCGGTGTTCAAAAGTAGGTATTTTAGTGCGTGACTTAACTACTAAGTCACAATGGCTACCTCATAGTTTTATAATTATGAGCTGTTTATTATTCTTTGTTGTTTCTAGTGATGCAATGTGCGAAACCTTCCATTCCAAGTAACTCACGTATCATTTATCCACGAACGGATCAAGCCAAATACACACATGGTACTACTCTTTATCTGGCTTGTAATGTAGGAAATCTCCTGACAGGATCGCCCATTATGGTGTGTAACTACACCAACTGGCTAAAAGGAGAATTCAGATGCATCGGTATGTTGATCTCTCCTGTAAAAAAAATATAATTCTCATGTTACGCGTTCGACCCTGTTCACGCAATCCTATGGCAAACTGCGTGTTAGAAAGCCGACGTTTGGCCCTCCACTCGTGCGCGCGGCTCTGTTGCATTATCTGAGAGCATGAATACTAGAGTGGGAGTAAACTTGAAGTGAACATAAAAGACAAAATTTGTCGCTTTTTCAATGAATTTTAAACGGTCTGGTAAATTGATTGTTCTGATTCGAAGTAATGAAAACCTTTTCTTGCAAAATCTTCGTCATCCAGCGCGCGCCCTTCGTATGTATGTAATTTATTTTCCAATCAAGTTCAAACCTGACTTGATGGTTATATCGTATTGAACTTGTATTCAGACCTCAACAGCTTCGGAAATTTTTAAATTTATTTCTGCACTCCTTTCTAGAAGCATGAGTCAAACTGAAATAAACAAAAATTACAATTACTTTCAGGTACTGCGCCGTAATGTCCTTGAGCTAATAATACTTACAATCCTGTATTCCCTTTGCCGAAGTATAAACCTTGTGTTCCCGTTACGATTTTGATTTATTTGTACTTAGAGACTAATAACGATCGCGAAATAGTGACCCTCTGAAGACCCTTCGAAGCTCATGTTCTCTTTCATAGAGAAATTTCCCTAGGGAATTTCGTAAGTTGACAGAGATTAAATAATTTCGTGCAAAACATATATAATAAAATACTTTGGGCTTTACTGAGTTGATAAACCAAAATTACCTTGTCACTTTCAGCGACGTAGCAAACTTACTCCTTCTTTATGATAAAATATTTATTGACTGAGTTTGGTCCGGCTGGTCGGGAAAATATTTGCCTCTCGGTCATCAAGCACACATATCGATGCGTTCGGTCATGACCAAATATTTTCCCGTGTAGCCCTCTCACTCAGATAATAAGTTTATCTTGAATTTCATCGCCAATAAATGCGGTCGCGTGCCCACGACAAGCCAGCGGTCAACATAAAAATAGCACACAAAATGGCGTCAAATTTTATAAAGGAATTAACTAGGCATGGATAGGACAGAAATGTCGAGAATAGAGACAATTATAATCAACGCAGCTCATTTGCCGGACCTTTGTGTCATTATGTGAAAAAATGTGGTTGCCATGTTTACGTTGTGCCTTCATTTCGACTAACCATTAAAAACAAGGATGAACTGCGCTTGCTCCCTCTTGTTTCCTTAAAGTAAATCTGAAACACTTAGCCATCAAATGCCTATAACTGTGCGCCAGTGTCTTGTATCTCGTTTGCCGGAAGAGATCCTCTCAGTATTGTTACTTCCCATGTGTAGACCAAAATATCAAGCACAAATCGGCAAGTTTGACCTTTCGTTTTCTCCTTTAAAAACCCTTAAAAGTAACTCAACTTCGCCTCAATCTTCTATCCGATGTGACTCCTTCCGATGCCTAAGCGATATGAGTCCTAAACAATTTTTTTTTCCATCTAAAAGGTCAGGAAAGGCGAACATGTTTAATACCAAAATTTGCATAAAAAAACTCAGCTGTCTACTCCCGCAAAGGATGAATACCTAGGATAACTGCAAAGCAGTTTATCTGACAAGAAGCTAAACGTGTGACCATTTTATTTCCAGTAAAAATTTGGTGGAAAAAAACAAACTAGGAGCGCAAAGTTTTACGATTTCATTCACCACTTCCTGGAAAAATATATAATAAAGTGGGGTGTAGGAGACGTTAATTTCCCACGCACGAGATTACTGTGTGGTGGATGTCCTCCCATGGGGTGAGGTGGGTAGGTGTTAAACAGGGCCCCATTTAAACCAGCTGAATGCTGAACTGGGCTACCCTGTATAAATATTCGCAAATACAAATACAAATACAAATATCCGTTTAGAGATCTCATCAAAAATAGTTAGAAAGGGGTTTGCGATATCAGTTGCTCTTGGTAAGTCGGTTGTCGAGAAAATGAAGCACCTTGGAAGTATAAACAGTTCAGGTTTAATGGCTTAAGATCTAACGACACGTAAATTTCTTTGGAGGATTAATTTTTCCACAGAATACGTTTTCGGGTATGTTTTTCTACCCTCTCGCTGGAAAAATTGTGCAGCCGACAGTTATCGTGGGGGAAACGTGCTCTTTTGATACAAATTTTCCCGTTAAGACTGCTGGTACTTTACGGGCGCATCATGACCGGCATAGTTGGCGATGAACACCACAAATAGAATATAAAAGTACTAATACGTAAAATTTTGTTACGCCTTAACTTTGATAGCTTCATGTCCCATCCTTGGACCAATAAGGAACGGAGTCATCACACATGTGACACGGAAGGGCGGTGGTAAAATTGAAATAAAATGCCATGCTCATTATAAGTTGGTCGGATCCTCAACACTGAGCTGCATAAATGGAAAGTGGAACGACAGTATTCCTTTGTGTAAAGGTATGTCTCATACATGTATTTTCCAACCATTCTAAAGACTGTGAAGCAACAAAAGATTTGAGTGACCGGGGTGAGTTGAGGTTGTTGCTAGCTAGGTATAATGGAAAGTGACTCTTTCGCTTTGCTTTCATTTGCCCAAAACAAAACAACAAACACGAAACAACAAACAAAAACGAAACAACAAACACTTCTGTCAAACGAAACAAAACAAACCAAGGAAAACAACAAACAAAAACAAAATCACTCGGTTTTGTATTAATGTTGGACAGGATTTCCTCATTTCAAAACAAGCTATCAATAGACGGTCTACACTTCCATAATTTTTCATCAGTTTACGTTGTACATTTTTTTCCCCAACACACTTTATTTGGGCATGGTGCCTTTCGCTAGAATAGGGTGTTGTGATCCCCGCCATTTTGATCGAATTTCATCAGCATATCGATTTTTACATTTATTCAGTTACGAAAAAATACTTTACGACCGCTAAAGGCCGATTCATAACTCTGGTAACAATAAAGAACAGCTCAAAGACAACCTTGGGATATGAAATCACTGTACGACGGTGAAATTTCCGTGTTTAGCTCAGTAGCGTGAGAGAAGGGTGGAATGATGTCCCCTTTTGTTTTTGTTGGCCATCGAGTGAACGTTCGCCAAGCATTTGAGGTACTTTTATTCAGCTCAAAAACTGGTTTCGCTTGTATATAGGCTATAATTCTAGGCAACTGTTGTTTTTTAATTTCTTTTTACTTTAAGCATCCTGCTCTGACCCTGGGCGTCCAAGTCATGGGATAACCATTGGAAGTGGTTTTGAACACGACTCAGTCGTAAACTTCAAATGCTTACCCTATCGTGTTTTAGAAGGCGCCTCGGAGTCAAAATGTGTCAACGGGAGGTGGACTGCACAGCTTCCAAATTGTAAAGGTGTGAAAAAACCGTTGGTTTTTTAGGGAGTCCAGCATTGTGATCTCATATTTGTTGCAGCATAGTTATTAGTCGCCGGGTGGGAAAAAGCAAAAAATAAGTGAAGAAGTAATATTACCGTAAAGGTTACCATATTCGTATCCTAATCGAAATCGTATCGTATAGCAAACTCCCCACGAATGCGACCCTGTCATAGTGTACATCTAGTGGAGAGCATTAGCGAGAGGTTAACTGACAAATGACCAACTTGCTATCGGGAAGATACATTTGTTTGCCCTAATCCCTGTTATACCTCATCTTCGATTAGAGGTCGACGGGACTATTAACAATATTTACAGGATCTAAGTGAAAACATATTGCTAGTAAAATTGCTCTTGGTGTTGTCAGAGCAGAATCTTTGGTTATTCTGTTTCGAAGATCAGAAACTCAGAATCACTAGCTTAGATGATAGGTCAATGAAAAAGGTATCCCTTTGAAAGACATAGTGTACTGAGAGAAACTATGGGTTCGACTGCAATTTTCATTCTGAAATCGTAACTAATGGCTTACTGTTCACTTTATTTTACGTTTAAGATTGCAACGAAAACCTGAGTGCCTCCATGATAGCTAATAAGTGCCAAATCCATAAAAGGTGGACTCTTTTTGAGATACAACTTCGAAAGAAAAGCAAGATTACAGCGACAAGTATTCAGCTGGGCGGCGATAGAGGAAACGTTAAACGTGTTCGCATCGATGCGCTTCTTTCCGATGCTGGATGGGTACAAATTGGTAAACGATTCAAGGTAAAAACACCTGTGTATAACATTATTCTCTTATTTCCCTTCTTTTTCTGTTCAACCCTAAAGAAGTGTGACAAAGTGAAATATGAAAAATTGGTATTGAAGTAGCAGTCATATTCTCTTTCAAAAATCAATCAATCAATCAATAAAACTTTATTTAAAGAGGATGACACTTAATATTTAAAAACTAATGAACTTGTGGTCCTCCAAAAACATTCTTACAATTTAAATATAATTTTTTTATTCCTACAACCACTCCTACAGCCACCTTTCAGTAAAGAAGTAAAATTGGAACTTTCTCAACCGCTTATCACTCAGTCTTTTCGAGTTCTACTTGAAACACGAAGGAAACTTTCCGTTTGTTCGACACCAGGAGTATATGGATGTGACGCAGTACACTGGGGTAAGACTTTATGTTTTTACTCTCATACGTCTCCCTTCAACAATTTGTTTAGATAAACACCGCGAGCAAGAAGAGAACTCTCACGACTGAAATATAGGGACTAAACGTTTTTTATTCCAATATCCTGGTGAACGGAATCGATGGTTGTATGATATAAAGGCTTTATACGAGAAAATGTTTGATCACCTTGAGTATCGGCGATTTTCATGGGGCGAATACTTGCATCGTTGTCTAGCCTCGTGTTTTACGTCCTTTTTAGGTTGTATAATACCAGGCTCCGCAGTCCTCTTCAAAGAAGGAGGAAAATATCATGAAGGGCATTTTGCAACTGCCCTGTCTTCTGGCGAGTGGGAAATCGTCAAAGGAACAGATTTCAAATATATAAGCAAAGATAATGTAAAAAACGTAATTCTTGATGAGAAACCTACCGTCAGCCAGCTGCCTGAAGGAACTATAGTCGTTGGAAAAGATTTGAGAGGGAACTTAAAGATGGGAAAAATAAAACGATCGTGTAGCTCTAATCAGTGTACTATTGAAACAAACGGTAAAGAGTGGCAGAGCAAATTAGAAAACGTTCGAGTCTCCAAAGGAGAATTGTGTAAATAGTTTATCTAATATATCCGAATTTCTTAACGTCCAAAGTGGGGTGGAGTCAGATTGCACTGAACAATTCCCTATCTTTTTGTTCGGCGTGATGAAAAAGAGGATTTCCTGAACTTTGATCTGCCAACAAGATCAGAGAATCTGCCATAATTTTCTCTTGGTCAACATATTGTTGTAAGAAATCAGACATTTCCTGAGCTTGCTTTTATCGGAAAATTATTTTGTAAGGCTTAGCAAACTATTGTGGTAAGCAGATTGATTGTCTTGCCAAAACCACAAAGATATCATTATGTTTAGGGCGGCAACCACCATTTGTAGACAGCCATTGGCAAGTCGCATGCTAAGATTTTTCCCGATCTAAGGAGACAACGATTGAAAATGCATAGAAATGATTTTACCACTCCCTCCTACTCAAAACAAAACTGTTTGCAACCTTTTCACAGCCTATTTTGTGAAGAAGGTAATTGCGAATCCTTATCTATGGTTATTTGTATTTATTCACTTTAGCTTTAATTTTCAATTTAACTAGTGCTTAAGTTTATAGGAGAAAAGTCAATTTTGATAAAATATTTTTATAATATACCACTGACTCTTTTGTTTCAGTAATGATGTTTCACTAATGTTTTTCACTAATTTGCATTTTTATTCCCAAATTATCGATTTCTTAATCTTTCTAAACTCTCGATTTTCCCTATAAGGTCTTTAAAGCGGCACTATCTGCACAAATAATAGTTGTCGACATTGTAAGCTCAGTTTTGTTAGGAAAAGAAAATACATCGCTTAGGGATCAGTCGTTCTTTAACACCAGAGGAGGGTGTGAGGAATTTGGAAGTATCACATGGTTTTCGATCAGGGAAAACGGTAGCGGGGTCAGTCGTCATCAACAGAGTAGAACGGGGAACTGTAGAATGAAATTAATTTGTATGCTGCTTGTATCCTGTACTATTCACTGGTTTTACTCTATTTCGGATTGACTGGTAAGTAGCGGTTCAAAACAATGTTGTTTACTTTACTATGTAAAGACCTAGACTTTACCTTTTCTTTCCCGTTAGGTTTAGCGAATTTGGCAGATATGGGTTGGATTTTCACAAATTTCACCTAATTCTGAAAAACAACGACTAAAACATTCTATCAAAAATAGTGATATCTTTTGGAATTTAGGTCGAGTACGGTGATATATTTACGTTCGAATCTTCACAGTTTGTCCAGTTAGTTGAAAATCGCAGTAAAGAGGGAGGCAAGATTTCTCTACGACCTCAGACTTCATTACGCATAAGGTATTTTGATGAGACAAACAATAGATCGCCTTTTGGACTACGGCCTTGTTTTAGAATATTAAGGGTTATTCGTGAATATTTTTAGTGTAATAGAAATTGATATGAGCTCCAGATGGGACTTGAACCCACGACCCTCCGTGATCTAGTCGGATGCTCTAACCACTGAGCTACTGGAGACTCTATGGTGAGCAAGGGTCAACTTGTGGGCCTCGACTGGAACCGCATCGCGCGGCTACACAGCCAAGTATTGGTAAGCACCTGTGAAAACTCACTAACAGCATCACGCTGTCACATTAAGGCATATCAAGATGCGGCCAACCAACCTCCAAAGTGAGCATGTAAAGATGAAACAATTTTTAGTGTAATATAAGCAAAGATAATGTAAAAAACGTAATTCTTGATGAGAAACCTACCGTCAGCCAGCTGCCTGAAGGAACTATAGTCGTTGGAACAGATTTAAGAGGGAACTTAAAGAAGGGAAAAATAAAACGATCGTGCAGCTCTACTCAATGTATTATTGAAACAAACGGTGAAGAGTGGCAGAGCAAATTAGAAAACGTTCGAGTCTCCAAAGGAGAATTGTGTAAATAGTTTATCTAATATATCCGAATTTTTTAACGTCCAAAGTGGGGTGGGGTCAGATTGCACTGAACAATTCCCTATCTTTTATTTTTGTTCGGCATGATGAAAAAGAGGATTTCCTGAACTTTGATCTGCCAACAAGATCAGAGAATCTGCCATTATTTTCTCTTGGTCATCATATTTTTGTAAGAAATCAGACATTTCCTGAGCTTGCTTTTATTGGGAAATTATTTTACAAGGCTTAGCAAACTATCGTGGTAAGCAGATTGATTGTCTTGCCGAAACCACAAAGATATGATTATGTTTAGGGCGGCAACCACCATTTGTAGGCAGCTATTGGCAAGTCGCATGGTAAGATTTTTCCTGATCTAAGGAGACAACGATTGAAAATGCATAGAAATGATTTTACCACTCCCTCCTACTCAAAGCAAAATTGTTTGCAATCCTTTTACAGCCTATTTTGTGAAGAAGGTTATTGCGAATCCTTATGTATGGTTATTTGTATTTATTCACTTTAGCTTTAATTTTCAATTTAACTAGTGCTTAAGTTTATAGGACAAAAGTCAATTTTGATAAAATATCTTTATAATATATCACTGACTCTTTTGTTTCACTAATGATGTTTCACTAATGTTTTTCACTAATTTGCATTTTTATTCCCAAATTATCGATTTCTTAATCTTTCTAAACTGAGAGCTCTCCATTTTCCCTATAAGGTCTTTAAAGCGACACTATTAGCACAAATAATAGTTGTCGACATTATGAGCTCAGTTTTGTTAGGAAAAGAAAATACATCGCTTAGGGATCAGTCGTTCTTTAACACCAGGGAAGGGTGTGAGGAATTTGGAGGTATCACATGGTTTTTGATCAGGGAAAACGGTAGCGGCGCCAGTCGTCTTCAACGGAGTAGAAAGGGGAACTGTAGAATGAAATGAATTTATATGCTGATTGTATCTTGTACTATTCAGTAGTTTCACTCTATTTCTGATTGACTGGTAAGTAGCGGGTCAAAACAGTGTTGTTTGCTTTACTATGTAAAGACCTGGACTTTACCTTTTCTTTTCCGTTAGGTTTAGCGAATTTGGCAGATATGGGTTGGATTTTCACAAGTTTCACCTAATTCTGAAAAACAACGACTAAAACATTCTATCCAAAATAGCGATATCTTTTTGGAATTTAGGTCGAGTACGGTGATATATTTACGTTTGAATCTTTACAGTTTGTCCAGTTAGTTGAAATTCGCAGTAAAGAGGGAGGCAAGATTTCTCTACGACCTCAGATTTCATTACGCATAAGGTATTTTGATGAGACAAACAACAGATCGCCTTTTAGACTACGTCCTTGTTTTAGATTAAGAGTTATTCGTGAATATGTTTCCAAAAAGAATTTCAGGGATGCTAAGATGCGATATGATCATGTTAATGGTCAAGTTTCCAATAAAGCTGGAGACAGAAAGTCTCTCTGCACTTGGTCATGATTCTATTTTCCTCTTTCGAGTGAAGCTTATTCGACCTGACACTCCTAATTTCAAATTTGTTTTCACAAGATTAGCAAGGAGATGGCTTCATTTGATAATTGCACCAACAGATCATAACACGATTCAGATAAGAACATTTCAAGTTCAAGAGACTTATGCAGACGAAGATATCCATCCGCGCTTATCAGGAAAGAGACACCCTCTTAGCACAAAATAACCGTATATGAATACCACAGTGACGTGTTCTGGTAATGGAACCAGAGCCCTCATTACATGTTATGGAATATTCTGGTCATGATCTCTTCTTTTCGGTTACAAACCTAAAGATTCCTCAATTATTATTCAGAGTCAAGAGCCATCGCTCACTAGCGAAGGTTAAAGAGTTTTGTTGCAGCATTTTGTCGCATTTGTCTAAATTTGGTATGAAACACTACACATATAGCAATAGATATTGTTGTACCAAAATAATAGAATGGCCGCTATGATTGTATACTAGAACAGTTCCGTGGGATTGTTTACGTGTTTCCGTCGTGAGTACCATACTCACAACGGAGTTCCGTTATTAGTACCATACTCACAACGGAGTTAAGGCTTAACTCAATGACCCAGTTAAATTTTATAACATATTCATTAATACAATATTTTACTCTTCCCCCCACCCCTTCCAACTTATTTGTGTTTACAATTTCCCTTCCACAAATGCATATTAAGCCAAGAAAAAAATGTAGAGGTAAACTGGGGGACTGTGAGACAAGCAGCGGCGCTTGTGATTGGGAAAGGTGAAAGTGGCGAATGTCCCTTGGCTACTGGCTGCAGCAAAACAGAATATTGGGTGAATGCTTTTATTCGTCGACTCTTTTGCAGAGAGTTGCAGCAACTAGGAACTAGGAATGAAAAGTGAAAGAATCCCAGACGAGAGTATTACAGCATCGTCTTCAAAAAGTAAAGATCACCACCCTCACTTTGCACGTTTGAACAGCCCAAAACCCTGATGCTCTGCGCCAGATGTCAAATTGCCTTACCTAGAGATCCAGCTGAAAGAGCCAAAGATTATAACTGGTATAACAACTCAAGGAAGCTATTTTGATCGGGCATGGGGTGACAAAATATGGAGTCAAGTTCCGGGAAAATGGAACATGGAAAGAATAATTTATCATGAGACTCCCTAAGTTTTAAATGTTTAGTTTTCTTATTTTTGTTTGGTCGCTGATTTACCAGATTGTATTAAGACGCAAAATACAACATATCCTTTTTTTATATACTTCCGAGGGAAAAAGTGAAAATCACTTGGCTTATTTCTTTAAAACATTAGGTTTAGTGTTCTTTCTATTTAAGATTTCTATCTGACGAACCCAGAAGTGAAGAAAAAATTTTGCAAATCTTTTCATTTGTCTCAAGCACGAGAAAGGTAAAAATTTAGAGCCATGAAAAAAAGAGCCTTTCAATGTTGACCGTCTGTACCCATAATCACGCGTGAATGTAAGGCGTTCAGACACACTGCAATACTTAGCAATAACCGTGATTAGCCTGTTGTGAAAGACAATCTAAAAAATTTAATTTTCTGTTAATTCTCAGGAACCAACAGGGAATTATAATATTCGGGGCTGGATGCCGAATGCCTTAAATCAACCAATTAAAACACACTCGATCAGAATTTATCCCAAGGATCCAATGACGCTGAATAGCAACGATCCCAATTCTTGCTGCTTAAGATTAGAGCTTCGGGGATGTTCTATCCCAGGTATGATTTGGGGATTCCCTTTTTGGCGACTTTTCATCCTTTCAAATAATTCATAGATATGCTTTCTTTGAATAACATATACCTACATGACTAATCGTGGTATTCTGGCTTCAACATCTTTACCTCTCATTTTTGTTCGTTAACTGAAAAAACAAAAACAAAAACAAATAAGACTGAGTACAGAACGAGATGGAAAAAAGGAAAGGTTCATCCTTGAGATAACTACAGCCCAATTCTGACTACCCAAGAGAGACAGAACCAGGTGAAAAAAAAATTAAAGGTTCCGCCCACAGATTACTACAGCCCATCAAGGAATGACCACTAAAAAAAGGTTCTGCCCTTAGATAAAAACAGGTAATTTAGAACTGACTACCCAAGAAAGTTCGTAAGCGGTTGCAAANCCCTCCTCCCCTTTCAACTTATTTGTGTTTACAATTTCCCTTCAACAAATGCATATTAAGCCAAGAAAAAAATGTAGAGGTAAACTGGGGGACTATGAGACAAG